CTCATCTGATGGAAGAGCAAACAGGAGGGCAAGGGCTGGCGCTGCCGTCCAGCAGAGGTGGAGGGATGGCATGCGGCCATGGGACCCTGGATGAGAGAGGAGGGTGCTCTAGGGGGGATGAAGGTGCTCTGGGGGAGAGGCAGAACCAGCCTGGACAGTCAATTCGGTTTGAAGTCACGTCAGCCAACATCTTGGGAGCGCCAGCCTTGGAGAAATGAGAAACTGTTCCAGTTCTCGAGGGGCTGACCCTGGAGTACAGCCAGGCGGGCCCAGAGGCCCTCATGATCACCACTGCCTCCTGCGACGGCGGGCGGTATAGCAAGGACAGCATCCCCACTGCTGCGGCCCTGAGCCCATGTAAAGCCCTTCTCTGCCCACGAACTTTGCTGCCTTCCCAGGGCACTTCTCGTGAGCTCACAGAAGAGGCAGGGCCCTGTAGGGGCACAACTGCATCCCGGCCCCATCCTGCCTCGCTGACTTGCAGGGTGCCCAGTACTCCTCAGTGCCAGCTGCGACGTGCTGGGCCGCCCCCATGGAGCCCTTGGACCACGGGGAAAATGCCTCCGTCCCTTCTGGGCAATGAGCACCCCAAGCAGAGTGTTGGGGGCGTCACTGACACGGTCCTGACTGCCTCAGTCCTCACAGACTTCTCCCGCTGTTCTAGAACCTTCTAGCCCTGCTGTGTCATGGGGCCACATGTCATGTGTGCCAATCCCAATCCACTAATTTAACAAGGATTTGTGAAGCCCTTTACCTTAACCAGAGCCCTGGTGGCACAGCGGTTAAGAGCTCAGCTGCTAACCAAAAGGTCAGCAGCTAGAATCTACCAGCCCCTCTTTGGAAACCCTATGGGGCAGCTCTACTCTGTCCTGTAGGGTTGCTGTGAGTTGGAACCGACTCGATGGCAACAGATTTGGTTTTGGTTTTACCTCAACCACAAACAGTTAGGCACTCAGCTACTAACTGAAAGGTTGACGATTTGAACCCACCCACAGGTGCCTCAGAAGAAAGGCCTGGCAATCTGCTTCCAAAAGGTCACAGCCTTGAAAACCCTAGGGAGCACAGTTCTACTCTGCACATGTGGGGTGGTCATGAGTCCAAGTCGACTCGATGGCAAGTGTTTTGTTTTTACCTGCGGTGGTGCCTCCAGCTCCCCTAGGTTGGGTGGGGGAGGACCGGTGTGGGGCAGGCTTTTCCACAAGGCAGCGAGTTCTCATCACTTCAACAGCGGCAGGTCGCTGCTCCCAAATCAGGCCCAGGATGTGCCGTGAGCTTGGTCACCACTGCAGAAGTGGCTGCTCTCCAGCTCGGGACAATCCGACTCACCCTGGTGACTAAGGGGCCTCTTTTGGGATCCCTAGGCTGTCTGTCCCCCGGCTCACACGGATGGTGTTTTGGAGGAGCCCCCTGGACTCACGTGGTGGGTGTCGTCAGGACATTGTGCCCTCTTTCTGAGGCTCCCTGGGAAACTCTCCCCTCCTCTGGGTAATGAGAAGACAGAGGCTGCCTCGGAGCAATGGACTTGTTTTTATCTCATGGATGTCACATTTCCCTTCTTTGCCCTGGCTACTAGGAAGCTCAGAGTCAAATTTATGGACACACACTATAAAACAGCACTCAGGACAAGAATCTGTGTATCTGCCTCACCTCTGGCTTACCATTAGTTTTCTACCATTCATTTGCTATGCTATAATTCTCGCCCTTCCTTTTTATGATGCTCTTGTCTGCAAAGAGCCTTAAATATTTGGGGGGGGGGGACAAGGAGAGTAAAGATGAATGAATGAATGAATTTCTATACATAAAACAAGCCTTCCAGCATTTGTTGAGAACTGGCATAGGAGAGATAGCACAGGAGAGGGCCTGGTGCCAGTAGAAGGGAGGAGGCTGGGACACGCTGGCAGAACCAGAATCGGCAACACTGGATCCATGACCGATGTCGCCTTGAGAGACTAAATCAACAAAAATCCATTGCCGTCGAGTCAGTTCCAACTCATAGCGAACCTACAGGACAGAGCAGAACAGCCCCAGGGGGTTTCCAAGGAGCGGTTAGTGGATTCCAACTGCCGACCTTTTGGTTAGCAGCTGAGCCCTTAACCACTGAGAGATTAGTCTCCTGCAGGACCTGAGAGTGGGTGGAGCCTCTGCCTTCCTTAAAGCACGGCCTGGGGGGCTCTGGGCCCTCTATAGGGGCAGGGGCTGTGGGGAAGACCCAGATCCCCCGAGGAAAGGGGCTGGGGCAGCAGACTCCACAGACTGGGGAGCCCTTGAAGATGCCCTGTTTGGGCGAGCAGGGACAGCAGGGGGCGCTGATCCTGCCGACTAGCCCACTGCCCTGACTCCTGACACTTGGACGTGACTTTCTCTGGGGCTCAGGCGGCCGATGCTCACTGGGATCTCGGTGGGCTGCCCACCCATTTTGGGAGAGAGCAAAGGTGACCCCAGGGAACTGCCTCTCAGCTGTAGGCAGGCAGGGGCTGAGTGGATGAGGGAAACTAATATATTAGTCCTTCACCTGGGCCTCAGTTTCCCCCTCTGCACTGTTGGTTGCAACTCATTCTGACTCTACATATAACAGAATGACGTGTTGCCTGTTGTGATCCATAGGGCTTTTGCTGGCTGATTTTCAGAAGTGATCACCAGGCCTTTCTTCCTAGTCTGTCTTAGTCTGGAAGCTCTGCTGAAACCTGTCCACCACGGGTGACCCTGCTGGTATTTGAAGTACCAGTGGCATAGCTTCCAGCATCACAGCAACATGCAGGCCCCCACAGAACAGCAGACTGACAGATGGTTAGTGGATACAAGGTTGTGGTACAAGCGAACAAACATCTCCTTCGCAAAGTGGTGGTAAAGCTCAGGCCAGGTAACCACTGAGGCAGCATGGTCTGGAGACAAGAGTGTGGACCTGACGGGCCGACAGCCTGGATCTGTGTCCCAGCCCTGCCACTTGCTGTGACCTTCACCCCCGAACCTCTGTCTAGGGACCCTAATACCTACGTCTGGGGCCTACTTGAGTATTGAGTCAAATTATGTATGCGAAGCTCGTGAACAGCCTCGGGGCCCAGCAAGCAGCGGTTGTTACCACTTACAACTGTACCGGGCTGTGCCAGCTCTGGTCTGCAGCAGTGGCCAGCCCTGGGCCTCCCTGAGGCTCAGTTTCCCCATCTGTAAATGAAAAGGGGAGAGGAAAAAACTCCCTGGCCCTCCCAGGACCTGAATGTCCTGCCTCGTGGAGAGGCACTGCCCTTTGGGACCGGGACCCCCAGACACAAAGTTGCCCAAAGCACAGTGGTGCCGGTGACAGCCCCTGGAGAAGGCAATGACACTTCCATACTACGTGGCCGCGGCTGCAGACATCTCCAAACACCCGTGTCTCTCACCACCAGGGCCAGATCTCCTCAGCGCATTCACAAAGGAGACTGTGGATTGCTACAGAACGCATGTGCTGATTTATACATTGTAACAGCTGCAGCTAATGGAATTCGCGCCTTCCTGCATTTGGTTCTATGCGTTTAAGAAGCCGGTCCTTAGCTGGCTCGGGCTTCACCAGCCACAGGTACCACTGTGCCCTGGGCCAGCTTCATCCTTGAAGAGGAGGCTGGATTGCCCTTGGAGGTGTCGGTGAAAACAACGCAGCTGTTTGTTATTATCCCAGTTAGCAGATGCCCAGCGTCGGAACCCTTGGGCCAGAGGAGCGAGGGAGATGCGCGGTCCGGGGTCTGTGGCGAGGGGGGGAGGCTGTCTCTACCTGACCTTTGCCTGGGCCCCTGGCTGCCAGCCTCCGCAGCCCATTGCTGCACGTCCGCATATAAAACCTTCTTCAAGTTCAGCTCCGAAGAGGGGTGAGCTCCGTCCTCTGGCTCCCAGGCCCTCGTGGCTCCCAGGCCCTCGTCACAGAGCTTGACACCATTGTCACCTGTGAAACCTCCAGGCGGGGCCCTGGTTTCAGAAACAAAGGTCATTCAGAGCCAATTCGTTAGTGCTAACTGAAAGGTCAGAGGCTGGAGCCCACCAGCGGCTCCTCTGGAGACAGATGTGGCAGTCCGCTTCCCTAGAGATGACGGCCTTGGAAACCCTGTGGCAGTCCTGCTCTGTCACATGGGGTTGCTCTGGGTTCCAATCTGAGGGGGCAGGATTACATTACGGCAGAATAATAATGGGAATTGGAAGTTTTCAGTCCCCGCAGGCTGCCTGCGCATCCGGCACTAAGGGCTAATGAGCATTACTCCTTTTCTTTCTCCCGGCGGCAATCCTGCCAGGAAAAAGGTGCTGTTAATTTCTCTTCCAAGCAGGAGGAAACTGAGGCACAGAGCGGTAACTCCCAGGGTTAGGAGCCAGGAAACTGAAGAGCCGGGACTGGAACCAGGAGGCGGGCCCAGAGCCGTGGAGAGAGTGCACCCTCCAGACTCTCAAGACAAGGGGAGGCGTGGAGGCGCAGGGAAGGGGGCTTCCGGAAGGTCTGTCCCCAACACAGGTGGGAACCAGGAGGGGGAGACATGTGCCACCCGCAGCAGTTGGGCCAGACTGGCAGCTGAGGACTCGGGATGCCCGAGCGGGGGAGGGGAGGGCGCAGAGGGGACAGGCGGGGGACGGGGAGGTAGGAGGTAGGGTCCGGACTTGTCGATTTCTGTGGGGAGGGACTCAGGTCGCTTGGACTCACCGGGGGCCGACCATGCACCCTGGTGGCTCCCCTTTCCCACGGCCCCCACCGCGGGGACCTTGCGCGCCCGTCGCCCCTGCTTCCGGGAAGGCCGGAGGCCGGGGCGGGGCTGGAAGGCCGGGCCGCCCCTTCCAAGGAGGGCGGGCTGGTCCCCGCCTTTAAG